TGAACTTTGTTCGTATTTTTTCTGCCAAAGCGTCAGTGTTTTATAAAGTAGACGTTCAGATCTGGAATGGAAGAATGCAGGACTCTACAGTATGTAATTCTGTACTGCATTATATAGGAACGCGTGCTATGAAACTAAGTAACCAATTATTTGGAAGAGGAAGATGTTCGTGATTCTGGAAAGCGGACAGTCTGATCAGCACAGGGAAGCGTGATGGATATCAAATACATGTGAGGACTGTTTGAATTTAATCACTTTGAGAAAAATACACAGAGCGTCTCGGTGTGTTACGCTCCCATGCACGTGAAATAAAAACTTCTTTTCCTGTCTGAGACGGACTGCTGGGCGGTCTTTTAAGGGGAAGCGGGAAAATTTCTCCCAACGCGGTCGAAGAATGAGCGCGTTCGTTTTGCGATGCAAGTGGCCAGCGCTTTTTAAGAAGCTCGCAGGCGGGTGCGCCCGTGTGCTCTCCACGTTTCCCTGACCCGTGTGTGTGTGTGTGTCTCCAGCTGCAGAGCAGGGTGACGGAGTACGAGTTCCCCCCAGAGGAGTTCCATCAGCTGCAGGAGGAATACTGGTCCCGGTTCTACGCCTGTTGCCTGCAGTACCAGGAGGCCCTGGCCACGCCCCTCGCCCTGCACGTCAACCCCGGCACCTCCATGGTCTGTCTGCTCAAGAAGGTACGGCCATTCAACCGCCACGGGCTGGGCTCTTCAGCGCTGAGCCTCTTAAACCACGGATCTCCCCCGTGCTGAAGCCGCAGTGATTAGGAATTTGCACGAAAAGTTTGTAGCTGCTTTGAGTGGCACTATGACTTGCTCTACTCCAGAGCTCTGTGACCATTATTCTGCAAAAGCCTTATTTTTAAGCATGTACAGATGCCACGATTTTGCAACCTGCCACGTGTACAGCCCACAGTAGTTATTCAAATATAGCGTGTTCATTTTGCAACCGTTAACTTGGGGGTTTGTAGTGCATTTGAAAAGCTGGTTTGAAAGGCATCGTCTGTCTTTTGCTTTCCTGCTGTGAGGTGTGTGTGTGTGTGATGTCTTCCCCAGGGCTTCCTGTCATTTCTGGTGCCCTGCTTTGGTGTGGATCACCTGTACCTGTCCTCCTCTGAGAACCTGGCCGTGGAGGACGAGACCTCCGTCACCGAGGGTGAGTCTTCACAGCGGTGAAAGTTGTAGAAGTCTACATTTAAATTGCGTTTCTTTAGCTCTTTTGATCCCCAAGGATCCCCAAGTAATGCGCTACTAGGAGGACAACCCACTGCATCCACTTGCTGAAGCGCAGCGCCTGCTCGGATTCTGGGGCGCCTATTAGGCACCAGCAGCCCCACTTCACAGTAGATCGGGTGCAGGAGAGAAATCTTGGAAGTTGGACTCGGGAGGCCAGACTGAGCAAGAGAAAGAGCGGGACTGGGTCAGGGTGTCCTGGGTCGCAGGCCTGCTCTGACCAGCTGTGCCAAAGGGAGCTTTCATGACCCAAGTCGT